CCCCTTTCCCCATGAGGCAGTATGGTTGGAAGATATGAAGCAGGAGGATGTAATTCAAACCCATGCCGACTTGTCAAGGTCAGGCTTCCTTAAAACATTCAGGTTGTAATAATTATGTCCTTCTGCTGCAGTATTCTTCAAGTCCTTTACTAAGGTAGCCAGGTTTTTTAAAAAAAGGTACGGAAACAATGAGCACCTCGATCATAACAGCTCCAGTTGCTTTAGACCCGTGTTTACATGCAAAATTGACCGCTTACCTCAGCATATCTCTTGATCCTTGATCCAAAATGGCTCGTGAGGAGAGCTTGCAAGCAGAACCCGCTGCACTAATAAACTGCACTTAAGAAGAATGTTATAACATTTATCATTTGCAACGCAGTAGTGACCGCCATGTTTTGAACTTGAGGTCACATAAAGCCTCGTTTTGGTTGAGCGATATGATTGGCTCTCCGGAGGGTAACAAATAGGTCGCGTCAAATTCGAATCACACAAGGAAGAAGATAACATGGCTGCTGGATTTGTTTACTGGATAGCCGAAGACAAATTGCAGCGATTATCTGAAGCTTTTCAGCTATTTAAAAATCACAACGGCTGGAAAGGTGAGATAGCTTGTGTTTTCATTGTAGGAAATGTTCTAGGAGAAAGTGACTGCGATGGAATTTCATACATCAACTTCACGTTTTGAATAGATTACGTGTAACGTTTGCCTGATCTGTTTTAATACTAAAATTTGTTGGAATTAATCGAAAAATCACTCCAAATCTCTTGAGATATAAGCCACGATAGAAGATCGAAGGTGATTCAATCGACTTTTACCGTGAGATGTAACCTAGTATATACATTCATAGTGCCGTTTACTTTTGACAAGTTTATTGTACATGTGATAGTCTAATACGACTTTTTAACAATTTCAGATGACATCCAAGCCTCCACTTATCTTACCTTTGGATGTCAAAGCTACAACTTCACAAAGAACCATTTCTTCAAACAAGTAAAATGGCAAAGTTCAACAGAATTTATCATAAACCTCTACAGGGAACATAGCACAAAAAAGCCATTCTGTGATTCCATCTTTAATCTAAAAGAACAGCTGGTAGCTCTTCAGCTGATTATGGCACAACTCAACAAAGAGGTACAAAAAGTATTTCTCTGTCCTAAGGAGGGCCAGAAGGATCAATAATTTATAATAGAACAACTGAGCATGTCACCCCAAATCCCAGTGAGTAAATTGGCAGTCATCCCACAAGTGGCCCAAGCTCCAGCTGTGAATTGTCACTTGCAAGATAAGATTCATGTATGGAAATATTTACGACTGCTCTTAAGAGTATAAATAAAATACCTCACCTTACTTCCACGGTGAATTGCTTGCTATCTGACTGCTTACTATGTTGAAAAGAACCCATTCTAGCTAGTTATCCAGTTCTGGGTTTACTGCATTCATAAGACTTTTCTTATGTACATAGTAAACCTAGAAATGGATAAACCGCTAAAATGAGTTCTTTTCAACATAGTTAGCGGTCAGATAGCAAGCAATACGCTGTGGAAGTGATTTCCTACATAACAACAACTCAGTTGGTGAAACCAAATTATTTGATACATAAGAGCCTGTCACTGTAATTTCAAATTCTCCTACCCAAAATGTAAAAACTTAGCCTCTCAAACCAAAGAAAAATAAGAACTGTTGCATGCCAATATAATATCTACTATAAGAAAATTCTTCATAGGAGGCACTAAGGTTTTGTAACCATCCGGCCAGTATTAAAAGATTATCAACAGAAATATTGATAATGGCATTATTTTTTAAGGAAACTGGAGAGTTTGCAGTGAAAATGCATGATGTGCTTGAAGCCCACAAAGAAATTATGAAGTGCAAGTTGTTGATGGATGAGGAAGAAAATTCAATTTCTAAGTTATGCACAGCCTATAACAAGTTTCTGTTGCACTGCAATTCTGTGGACTTTGCTGATGTCTTTCAGAGAGTCAAAACATGTTTTATCATGGACAGTAATGTCAAAGACATGCTTCAAATTTCACAACAGTTTGTTGTCACTGGGAAGCCAAAGACACAACTAGAGGTGAGAAATTAGAGAGTTGTTTTAAATGCTATCTTACTTGAAATAATTCCTAACCCTTTGGCCCTCGTGTGTGACTGCTCCCTACAATATTACCCCTGAATCACAAATTAAGGTCTCAAGAATAAAAGAAATGATCACCAAATGAAAAGGCTCTTGATGTTTCATGAAATTCTCCTTATCAGCACCTTAGGAAATGTATAGAGAACTATGTGGAGAGTGTACATACTTACATTTTATGTTAGAGGGCAAAGGGCTGATGGTGGTGACTTTTGTTAGTCTAGACACTGACTTAAGTTGGCCTTCGGTCAAGTAATTTAGCTTAATAAAAGTAACTGTAACAGTTAAAGCATGAACCAGTAATCAGGCTGGTTATTTCATTAATGTGTTAATTCTATCTTTACATGAAACTGATTTCTTCCAGCAACAAATTCTTCAGCTGATGGTTGGAAACAGAACCTTGATTTGCTTCACAGAGACAGAAGGTAGGTCACCACCTAAGTAAACTGAGTTTCAATGGATTATGAACCTCAAAGCATATTCAAATATTAACCATTGTCTAAACTTACAACTTCCTTAAAATGCCCCATTTCACCTTTTTCTAATTGTTTTTGTGCACACAGATGGTCAACACTCACTATCTGAGAAAACAGCTGATATGCTCCTGCATAGAGAAGTACCAGCAGATGTGCTTGGTGACCAATTACTAAACATATCTCCACAGCGAAGGACCCCCAGTCCTGCTCTATCTCATTCAGTTTCACAAGAATCATTGGCACAGGTAATTTTAAACATCAAACTGGCTTTGTAAGTCAGAGAAACCCCTTCAGCTTGCTGAAAATCCATATGTATAAATTATGAACTAACTAAATATAACTTAACCTTGAGCATTTAAAATGTGGAGAATTCATTGAAAATTGTAATCATGAAAAAAAAAAATATCCCAATTACCAGTAATTGGAATGCCATGGTATCAATTTTACCTACTACAGTGAAAAATGATGTTAATTACATTGTATATTGTCCACCAATGCAGAAAGTTTTCAGATAAAACTAGGTACAGTTCGTCTGAGTTTTTTTTACCATGATTCAAACAGAGTTGGGTTTTGGAAGACCAGAAGAAACTGGTTTGATCAGGAAAAACTTAAGCCACCTAAGTAATCTTTTGATTAATATTTTAACAAAAATCATGAATAAAAGGAACATATTCATTGCACTGTACATTTAGTCCCAAACCACCTTCAGCTCTGGTTCAGTTTGGTTGAAAGCTAGATTGTTTCATCCTGAGCTAAATAACCATCCTCTGGGTACTGATTTCTCTGATGGAGAGCCTTTTCCTCTCTTTACACTACCAGTGCAAGAGTGTGAAGTGAAAGATGGTCTAACTTTACAAGTGATTTAGTGATGATATTATAAAGTTTAATGATCCATACATGTTATCTTAACAACAGGATCAATTTCTGAAGGTTTGCCTGAGTTACCTCAGGCTCCTGGTGAATTCCAGGGATGAACTGGCTCTTTCTCAGGCTATCAATATACCTCACAGGGACTTGGCTCATAAACAGTTTACAGTATTGAGGAAGGTTGCTAGGGAAAAAAACATGCCCATGTTTCAGGTACCACTCAATTTGTTTATTAGAGTGAATATTATTATGAAAATTACACAATTATGTTACTATCAGTGAATGAAAGTTATCTTTAAAAAATATTGATATTAAGACCACACATACATGAAAATATCATTAATATCTGGCAAAAAGTTGTCAATGAGTGGAATCAAATATCATTGGACTAAGAGTGTTGAAATTGTAGGAGTCAAAACTCTCAACCTAGTTTAGAAAATTCTTCCTTGATGTTAGAGACAAAATCAGGCATGTTGAAAGAGTCTAGGAGTTAAAACAAGGGAGGTGGCGTCTCAGTTCTTTTTCAAGTATTTACATCATGATGTTGACATTCTTGCCTGTATATCATTGTAATCAGCATCAGCTTATGTCATGGTTGAGGACAGGTTACAGAACCAAAGCTGTAATCTTTCAATCCATTTACTGCGGGAGTTCTTGGATATTGCCTTGCTTTCATTGGACTGGCTGGCTGTGGGATGGATTGAGTTGTAGTCTAAAATGATATAGACTTAATAATAATTTAAAAAAAGTCTTCCACATCATTATCCCCAGCAGTCAAAGGCTAACATCATTCAGTTTTGAACACTGTTTTTCTTTCCTTCCCTTCCCAACAGACGGCTGTCTCCTTTATTCTGAGGATACGATTAGGTGGGAAGAGTTATGCACCAAGCAATGACAACCCACTTCTTCCATTAACTAAGGTGTATATCAAATATTACCTTTAATAGAATTATACCAAATAGATATTTCTGATATATTTTAACTGTTAGAAGGCTTCAGGATATTTTACCACAAGAGGGAATCTTTACCCATCCAGCCGGAGCTTATCCCAGTTTCTATGTAGCATGAAGCAACTAGGAGTATTACTACTCCCTCCCTCCCTCTTCCCCCCTCCCTCTTCCCCCCTGCCTCTTCCCCCCTCCCTCTTCCCCCCCTCCCTCTTCCCCCCCCCTCCCCTCTGGATGGGATGCTAGTTCCATTGCAAGGTTACCACCCCGCATTTCGTCAGGCTTCCCTGACAATTTACCAGTACCCATTTTATACTTCTGGGTGGAGAGAATCATTAAAGGCATGGCAAAAGTAATTAAAAGTGCCTTGCCCAAGAACACAACACATTGACTAGGCAAGGTCTCAAACCCAGACCTCTCCACCAGGGGTTGGTGAAGGCACTGATCACAAAATCTGTAGGGAGTGGTGTCCTATCCCCATGTGGGACTCAGATTTTTCTGTCCCATACTCGTGCCTTATGTTTCAAAAAATTTTTTTACAGGGTCTTGGAGAGTTTGTCACTTTTTTCCAAAAGCTACAAAATGTCTGTGAAGAAATAGCTGATGCAAAGTATGAAAGCTTTATGATGGGTATTAATTTTTGAACACTGCTTAGTAATTTAACATCCTTTCTACAAAAGGAAGGTTTTGAAACAAGTTCACCTTTTCTTTTTCCACCAAGCAACTAATGGTAAAATAACAAAACTATTTCATGTAGATTAAGTTTGTTTAACAAGTTAATCATGACTAAAACTATATTATTTAGTTGAACACTCTTCAATGAGTGGGTTGGTAAGATTGTCTGAAGTGATTGTTGTCACAAACCAGGCATCAAAATCAAAACCAAAATCATTTTTGGGGCCAATTGTGTTGAATTGTGTGCTTACCTTTCAGAAATGCTGTCTTAAGAATTATCAACATGCTCAAAGTAAGCATTATGAAATCCAAAGAAAAGGTTTTTACAAATGAATGCATTGCCAAAACTGTGGAATCTCTGAAAGAAAAGGTGGAAGAACCAAGCTGCAAAACAGGTGATGGTGACAAAACAAAGTCATCCATGGCAGGAATGAATGTGTATTTCCTGATTCAGGCTGTTTTAGATGAGCATGTCAAGCAAAGTTGTCTCCAGGGATATGAAACAATGGACTTGAGATGTGCCCTTATGACACCAGAATTACCTCATGGAAAATCTAAAATACGATCTACACTAAGTCAGTTCAGGTAAGGTGGAACAGTTTTGAAGAACTCTTTGACCTTTAAGACTTGTGGCATGGCATTCTCTGGGCAAGCTTATAGATTAGCTAGGGCTGATATAGTCACTCTCTTGTTTCTTTAAATAAATATTTCTAGCACTGACAAATTCGCCCTCCACTTAAGAGTATAAATCAGTAAGTAGAAAATTTGTGAGTCAAGATAACCCTGGGAAACTTGTATGTAGCTCCAGCATTGCCTGTGAAATAAAGTTCAAGGTAACTTGTTATTATCTTAAGAGAAAATTCAAGACATATTTTTAATTTTTTTCTGGCTAGAACACCTGATTCTGAGTCTTCAGAAGCAGCTGTTACACCGCCAAAGGACCAGCCACCAAAACACAAACCTGAAAAGGTAAGATCCTGGTAAAGCAGCAACTTTATTCATCTGAAGATGAAATCTAAGACATGGTAACCTCTCTCTTTGTTTGTCTTTTGTCCATTTTTATTTTCATTTTGTTCCAAGAAGCTTAGTATCTTAATGCAATGGCAAATCATATATTGGGTTTCCTTGAGGACCATCTTAGAATAGTTGATTAATTTTTTAATTGTTTTTCGCAGAAACCATTTGAAAGTTATAGGAAAGTGTGTGGTGATATGAGCTGGGCCAAACCTGCTTACAGCATTCAGATAGGACCAAGTCCTGCCAACAAAAGAGACCAAATGATGACAGCTGCCATAAACACTGATATTTTAACATCTCATCAGGAAAGTGGCAATGAATCTTACATTAAGGATACACCAAAATGTCACACCAAGAAAAGAACTTTAACAGAATCTATATATGATAAGGAGAACATTCCAATTGGTAACAAAACCATAAATGATGTTAAAAAACCACCAGCCAAACGTATGCTCCTTGAGACGGACATCACTGCAAAAAAGAGCTCAAAGGGCAAAACTAAAACAAAAACATTGCCCAAAAGAAAAAAGATTCCATTACTTCAAGGACAAAAACAGCTTACCAATTTTTTTAGGTGATATGTTGTATCAAAACAAACATCACAAAATTTTATTCATTTTCATACGTTATTTTATTTTAGAGACCCAAGATAAAATTATTATGCCATGAGTACCATTATTAAATGTTATAATTTGTTCTACACAAACTAAACACTTACAAGACATAATTGCTTTGACTATGTCACTAAGGAACCATCATCATCTCAAACAAATTATTAGCAACTTTGCAAAATTTCATTTACTGGTAAGTGTAGGTTACTTTAATTAACAACCAGTCAGAGTAAGACATCATCACAAAAATTACTTCTTACACAATTATTTTTACAAGTCTGGGCAAAGCCTTGCAGAACAAAAAGTTCTCTATGGCGACAAAATTATGTTGAGGTACAAAATTAAAAAGTAATGTCAACTTGTTATTTTAAGGATTAATGACAGTTATTGGGTTTTTAAGGAAATAGGTAGCCTTAAGTATTAATTTTACTTCTTGAAAAAAGATTCCTTGCAGGTGCAAACTTTTTGAGTACAATATTAAATTATTACTTCTTATTGCAGACCATAAAATGTAACCATTCACTGTGGCTAGCACATGGCTTTATATAACGATATGACTTTGGCACATAAAAAAAGGTACATGACGCAAAGTTTAAAACGCAAGTGCACTCTTTCTAAAAGGCATCTTCATGAAAGCCATCTCTTTCATTACTTTAAGAATCTCATGACCAAAATTTATCATCTATGCTGACCCATACGATTGTCCTCTCTGTCCTATATACTCATGTTGCTCCTTGATTCCCTGTATTGAGAACTTCTTAGCATTCAGACATGATCAAATAAACACATATCTCCATCTTATGTAAAAATTTCAGTAGCAGAGTTCAATACATACGATCCTCTACATCTGAGGATGCTTTTCCTAGTCTTTAGTGTGTCCTTTGCAAGAACTTTCCACAGCATCCATAACAGTGAGAGTTCAAAAAGTCATGTCTGGTTGGGCTTTTAGACTGAGGTTCTTTATTAGAGCTCCCATACCAAAACCTGTGATTGGTTGTTCAGCCTGTCTCATCTGGTACTCAATTCCCAATGTGAACAGGTTTCTTCATTTTCTCTTTCCTCTTCCTACATGTATCAGTGCCTTGAGTTTTAAAAGATTGCAAGGTATGAATAATAAGGCTATGTCAGGAGCCTCTCTTACATCCATCAGAGCTGCCATCATACAAGCTCCAAAACTCTTCCACAAAGTCAAATCATTGATTGTTTTCTTAGATCTTGCTACATTTCTGAGCTCCTTGAATTTGGTAAACAATGGTTCACATCAATGGTTCATCTCTTTCTTCGTTTTGACGCTGAGTTCTTTGTCCCTGATGATGTTGCAACTTCCCCTAAAGTTTCCTTCTTTCTCTTACTTTGTCCACTTGAGCTGCTTGTATCTTGTGATGTATCCAGAATTTCATCTGCAAATAATTTATACCTGGGGCAAAAGTTAAGGATGCAATAATATTGATGAATTTATTGATAGCATAGCAAAAAGCAAGCTTCTAAAAGAATTGAAGCCTTGTACCTTCTCCATATCATTCCATCATTGTGAAAAATGAGAAATATATTAAAGAATCTATCAAACTTAAGAAAGGCACAATGTTACTGCTATTCAGCAAAGCTGGGCAAGAGTTCCTAGGAGAAAAATTAACCCACATTTTAACCCTCAGTGACTGAGAGTTTCCTTGAAACCTCCATCTCCCTCACTAAAAACCATTTTATCCAATAAGTACCCCCTCCTCCCCAGTCTCAATTGGGAAGCTAGGGAAATTAAGTCTTGCTGAGGTTTGATAAAGAAACTAATTAAAAGTAACTGACTTTTCTGGACCAATCACTAAGACTAGCAAGGCAAATTCAAACCAATCCTAAACCACTTTTGACACTCACTTTACAAAGAAAAGGATACTCTTCGAGAATGAGCTCTTGCCTCAACACTCCTGTGAGAAGAACTTCAGCACTCACCACAGGAATGCCAGCTTCCATTGGCTTTCTACAGACACTTCTGTCATCTTCACAAGAGATTACAAAAACTCCGTTCTCTCTACTTCTTGGCATACTGGTCAAGAACTTAACCAAAACAAAAACTATCACTAAACTGAAATGGTACATCTTTGCAACATATTTCAAACAAACATCACCTCTCCAACTTGACCACTCAAAGGAGAATATTGAGAGATATTGCCATTAAGAACACAACGAAATTTAAGTGTGATACATACCTCTCCTTTGGCACTTTTAATTATGTCTGAAAAATAAAAAGTCATTCCTTACTGTACATTTTCATGCACTAACTTTTACCCAACAAAACTTTCTAATGAGTGAAAAATGGCCATGAAATTCATATTTTTTATGCATTGGCCATTTAAAGTAAAGCTACTTGACCTGGCTATTATTTAATATAAATCAAGGGTGATCCAATCCCTGAGAGCGACTATCATCTAATTTCTCCTTGCAATATCACGCTTATCACACATAAAGGTTATGAGAATAAAAGAAATGATCACCACCTAAAAATGCTCTTGACAGTTAGACAAATTCTCCTTGTCAGTACCTTAAAAATGTAGTGAGATTGGTTTAGAGAATATGCATATGGACCCTAGGGTGTAAAGGGTTTAAGTGATGCAAAGATTAAGAGAAAAACGAATTGACAAGAATCTGCAGGCAGATTATTAAATGGATATCACTGTCAATTGCTTGTTAACCTCACTGAATATGAAATTATTTCAGAGTTATAACTGCCATCAGAAACAAAATCAGTTCACCCACAGTGTTCTCCCTTATTTTAAGCACAATGGGTAAAAGAAATTTTCAAACTGTTAGAGCAATCCTTTTACCTGTTGAAATTTCAAGAATTCCAAACCATTTTAGGCAGTAATAAGGGATACTACATGCAGTGAATTTTACTAGTAACTGCCTGAAAAGGAGAAGACTGACCCATACAACTTTGATAGCCACTTAAAAACACTTAAAGTATTCAATAATTCCTTAAAATTGTGATTACAGTTTGTACCTTTCATCTGAGATGGTTCTGGTTTTACTTTCTTTGTTACATGGACCTTGCAACCCTCTAAGAGACCCTTAGTGAGTGCAACTTCATGAGATCTGAAAGAAAACATATTTTTTAACATTACCATCATCAAATCATTTTCCTCATAAATAAACACTTCTCAAATTAAGACGTTCACCTTTGAAGATCAAAATTGTATTGCTTCTCTGCATCTTCATCCTTAACTAAGAATGGGGATGTGTCTATAACATAGAACAAAAAAAAAAAACCTAATATAGAAATAAGCTCAGTCTGCATCTGTCAGTTCTTTAGTGTTAGTAATAAAAAAGTCAAGCAAGTGCTATAAAGTCTGTATAATAGGGTAATATAGTATTATCAGCTGAGTTGATAATGTAAATTGGCCACTGTAAAGATTTCAAAGCTGACCTTCCAAGCATTAGCCCTTCATCAGAGCGAAAGGCTTACAATGAAGGGCTGACACTCAAAAGATCAGCTTTGAAACTCTTTGCGGTGGCCAATTTACATTATCACCTCAGCTGAACTTGATAATTCCAAAGTACCCTGTTATACTCTCCCATCAATGCAGCACCACAGTTTCTTTAGAAACTTACCCCCTCTTTACTTGTATTTAATTTACTTTCTATGACAGTATTCTTACCTACAAAACCCTTAGCCTTTTTACAAGCTTCAAGCCATGAAGGAAGAACAATGACCTGCCCACCAGCAAGACCACATAAGAACTTGACTGTACGCCGTACCTATAAGTAACAGTAATAAGGATGATGACACAAGAATTGATAGCAAAAATTAACACTAGTCAACTATAAACCTTTTTGATAAAGAGACTGATCACTTCAAAATAACTCCAAAAACTTTAAGACAAATCGACCCCTTTTAAGTCTTAAAGTTTTGAAAGCTCATTATTTCAATTACGATTCCATCAACCTTGCTCAAGCAAATATCTACTATCAATTAAAATGATTTTAGGTCCCTAAACAATGTCATCTGGATTCTGATCCAAGCATGGATTTTTTTACATTTATATTTTTTAAGCACTTTTAGCAATATTTGCCACAATCAAGTGGAAATAAAAATTAAATTGCCTTCAAAAGTGCTCTCTGAAACTTGAAAAAAAGCAAAAAATATGATGAAGTAGATATGCATGACAGTAAGCTGCTACTAATCATGGTAAATTGTTTCAATTCTGTTGTAATCTCATAACTTCTAAAGCACTTGCTTATTTTTAAGAGAAACCAAAGCCTGCTGGCAATCTACACATCCAGTGATTCCACTTTAATTTGTGCACATCAAAGTACAAATAGCACAAACCTTATCAGTGACCAGATGAGTACAGTTGTGAATATTATCCACCAGCTGACCTCCTAAGCTTGTCACAACCTACAGAAGAGTTTATCTTTAATAAGTTGGACAATTTTTTGAAGTTACAATTGACATCCATAATCTGGAAGGTATTCAAGTTTACTGTGATCTACAAATTGTACATTTTCTTGATCAAGAAAAAAAACAAAAGTACCCAAGAATCCATAGTGTCTCTTCAAAAGCATCAAGAATGAACTTACCTTTTCACCCTGTTTATCATAAAGCCCAGTGAACATTATCCTTGGGCTATTTTCTGTAGATGACTTCCCCCTCTGCAAGGATGGGCTTCGGTTCACAGAGGGCTCCTTTCCACGCCTCCCTCTCTTTGCCGGCGTTTCCTCCATCTCCTGAAGAGTACAGCATTGAAAACACAAAAACATGGTGATCAGCAATAGCTATTTCCTCCAGTACATGTACATTGTACTAACCAATGATTCAGAGTTCTCTTGTGGATGTTTCCTCTGCCTCCCTTTGCGACTTTGCTTACTGCTTCCAGTTGTTGGGCTTTCCTCTAAGTCTGCAATGGTCTCAGAATACTCTGTACCATCTGATGATGCCAAAGCCTACCCAACAAAAAATCAAACATAACAACTACATCCTGTTTAGAGAAAGATGTTTTTTTGTCCTATCATGAGTGTGGGACAAAGAAAAATTCTGAGCCCCCATGAGGAATCAAACCTCAGACCTTCAGATTCTGCACTCTGATACTCTACCACTGAGCCACAGAGACTCCATGGTGAGTGAGGTCTATCACGAAGTTCATATGACACATGTCCTGCACACTGCTAGGATCAGCAATGTTGATAGCATAATGTTTGTAGATAGAAATAAGAGAGATGGTAGGTTTTTTGATACATCTTGTTTGCAAGCATTGCTTGCAAACATTGCTTGCAATATAGCACTAAAATTATCAAATCAGTTGGTGACTTGGTTGAATGCCAGTTGATGTATTGGTTGACAGCCAGCCAACAGTCGCAGGATAGTAGGTCCACTGTTTGAAAATAATTGACCAATGATGGTCAACCAACTGTTGATCAACACTCAACCAACCATGTTGGCTCTCATCTCAACATTACTTGAGTTACAGTCCACTTTTAGCCTGCTTCTAGCTGACTTTACACCTATACATCGATCAGGATTTGAATGACTAAATTAGCAAGGCTGTCCATAGGGCACATGATCCAAGGTAACTTACAGCAAGAATAACAAAGGCACATGGGTCATGCATTTTTTTTGACCTGCGCACAAAAAAACCATTTATACAAGTCTGACTACCCTGCATCTGAGCAAATGAAATTCATCTGCGTGGTTAACATATACACAAGCAGTACTGTATGTCTTAGTCAAAGTGTTTTAAAAAGCATTTTCATCACATGCCTCTAATTCAGCAGCTGAGGGTTGTATTCTCTTCCTGCCTCTACCCTTTCCTTTTGAAGCAGAGACACTGGCAGGCGATTCTGATGGCTGCAGCTCATTGACATTAACAGTGGGGGTCTCCTGAACCTTAAATTTTAAAAAATATGCAGTCATGTAAACAAGCCTAATTAGAGTTCATGAATTGTGAGTGTACTTAAAATAACCAGGTTGGGTAAAATGTCAAGATATTTGCACAGATCTTCTTTCAAATTGGATAAAATTAGTTCTTCCATAAATACGTATTATTTTGTAAATTGAGAGAAGAGGCTGTACCAAATAACATGAAGACATTGCCCACAAACAGCATTTTTAACTAAGATCTCTTAAATCAAAGTTAAAAGTTAACATGGATTCCCTTAAAGCTTAATAATAAATATATTCTATAGATCACAGAGAACTTACTATTTGGGGAGAAGTACTTGCAAATGCTTCTGATTCACAATCAATGGCTCTTTTTGGCTGCGTTTTCTTTCCTCTGCCTTTGCCTTTTCCTCGGCCCCTCCCTCTGGTAGGCGTACTCACAGCCTCTCCAGGAACTGGTTCATTGGAGATGATAGATACCTCTGAACCAATGGATTCTCTTTTCTAACATTCAGTGAATTCAGAGTGCAATACAGAATCAGCAATTTTTAGCTACTTTTTAAATGGAATATAAGTTTAATTATATTTATCATTAGTTTACCATAAAAATGAAAAGAACCAAATTGTAAAATTTCAGAATTTGCAATAAAGTTGGTTACAAAATATCTTTATAAAGCCTTCAACATTCACTTTGTGGAAAACAAATTCTACAAAACTTCAGCACCTTCAAGCTTTTCATAAAAAAACATATTACCTAGACTTTCGAGCAACATAATTATTTATGCAAGAAGCCAGCTGTTGTGTTTCACATCACAGTGCCTATGAGAAATCTTTAAACACTTTTGTATGGCTACCTAGATTTCCTTTTCCAACTACTTTAATTAAATTCTGTAGTAAACAGGAATAAGCATTGGAAAGAGCATGTTAATGAAATGAATTCATACCAATGATTCCTCCACTGATGCTTCATTTTTCCTTCCTTTTCCCTTTCCTCTTCCCTTCCCTTTTCCTTTTCCCCTTGTAGGAACAGCTTCAGCTGATGAATCTGGCTGACTCTCAACAGCATCACCAGAAACCTCTCCCAACTCTTTAGCAGTAGTGTCTATGGACTTCAAATTTTGTAATGTTTATTTAGGGTGAGATGGTCTTACCAATATAAAACGATAAACTTTTTCTATAATTATAAGAAAGAAAATTATTCACATACAGTCAAGTAAGATTGCCATTCAAACTGGCATAACTAACTGCCAAACAAATAAAACAGAAGGTGCCCATAATAGAGAATGTGGACAGCATCTTTCAAGTGATCTAAAGAAGCAAAGCAAAGCTTACTGGCTCAAGAGGCATTTCGGACAGAAATGTTGCATCCATTTGTGCTGCCTTTCCTTTCTGACCCCTTCTTGATTTTCTTACAGGTGTTTCTTCTACCTCTTCATCAAGTTTTCCTTTCCCAGCCTGTTTTCCTCTTTTTCTCCCTGATGTTGAGGCTGGCACCTTGGAAGTCTCTTTGTCTTGATTTTCAGATCCATTTGTCTCCTTTGCTCCCTTCCGTCCTGAGCTCGCTGACGAAGTTTCTTTACCTTCATCCTCATCTGGTGTTCCAGGGTCAATCGTGACCCTCATAGCCCCTCTTCTTCCCTTTCTACTAGACACTGTTACTCGAGGATTTTTACCATTTCTATTGAAAATACTACTTGGTGTACTATCCACATTATTTTCTGCTCTTTTATCAGTATTGGTTATTTCTACCTCAGACTCTGTAGGATTTTCAGCTGATCCAGCCTAATCAGATAGAATATTGAAAAATATTTCACACTTTTCAAGAGGTAAATTAAACCCATAAAGCTTTTTAGTATATATTCTCGCATGATAAAAGTACAGAGCCCAGTTGTATAGAGGATTGATAACGCTATCCACCAGATAAATCCCTATCCAGTGGAGAAGTGATAGCAAAATGTATCACATTATCTACTGGATAGATATTTATCCAGTGGATGGAGTTATCTGACAAACCAATTATCTGGAATTATCTTCAAACAACCAGGGCCTATACAGAAACAGAATATGAAAAGCATGAATTTTTACCAGGTGAAGTCTTACTACTCTTGCTAATGGTGCAAATTAATAGGATTTCTAAGCACTATGCATCCTTGGAGTAGTCCATTATAATTAGTGCCTGTCACTAGAATTTTCTCTTGTTTCCTTATAGTTTTTTTGGTACCAATCACGGCCAGGCACCTTGAGTTATATGCTGCAGAATACTTTGGGTGACCTCAACTGTAGCACTGCCACCATTGTTTAGTATACTTAGGTAATATCATGACTTCAAGGGTAATTTGGGGTAAAAAAAAGCACAAGTAAATTTTTTGAAGACAACAAGATTGCACAAGCCCATAGGGCAAGTGCAATTCGTAGTCTTTGAAAAATTTACAAGTACTTATTATACCAAATTGCTAGAAAAATATTGCCACAACTTCTTAATAATGTACATGAAAAAACATCATAGAAAGTCAAGACAGACAAAACTTTGAAAGCATGCATGTGCTATTTATAATTTGTGCTCATGTTACAACTTTGCACTCATGAGAATGCAATCATTTTTTTAGCCAGTCAGAAGCTCATAATTTTTTTCATGTACATTATTACCAGTCACACCATTATCCATTCATGAGTGATCAATAACTGATCATGCAATCTTACTGCTTACAGCATCAAGCACTTAATTACTATTAAGTAAAAAGCAACTTATAATAGGTATCAGCCACTCATACAAAGTAATTTCATTCTGCCTGAGTCAGTCACCTGTTCACGTGCTTCTCCTTGAGAATCTTCAATAACTGGCTTTTTCCTTCCCCTCCTGGAACGTGATCGCCGTGGCGTTACATCTTCACTTTCCTGAGAGTCATCCACAACATCAACAGCAGGGCTTGCGGAAGGTTTGTTTTTATCCCCTAGAGCAACAAAAATATCTCTTGGGCCTCTCTCTTCACAGGCTGAATGAGTACATTGCAAGTGCATAGTGGAATACTAATGATGGAATGGTGGAGGTGATTAAGTAGGAATATGGGAAAATGCCAGAGTGAATAGATGAGGATAAGTAAAATATCAGTAACTGGGTAAGTCAACTGGTGGATGGAAAAATGAGATGAATAGGAAAGATGGGGTAACAAGTGCAGGAGGGGGAGGGGCAAGTAGGTGAGAGGGAGGTGCAGATAAAAAAAATGACAAATGAATATAAGGACCCCTTACTACTTATTGCAGTCCACATCACCTTACAAACAATTGCTAAGTACTTGAACAAACCTCCACTAACAGCTGATACACCATTCTCAGTTTCATCTTTGTCTGTCACCTGAAAACGAAAAAATGAAAATATGTTTAACTCCTACAAGCATGTCAAGACTAACAGTTCACAAAACAATAAACTGATCTAAAGATCAAATATTTATTAACCAACCCACAAATTTTCAAGGTACCCACCCCACCCTAAACAGTAGATATTTGATGTACCTGTGCTGGTGGTTCTGTCTCCTCTGCAGAGGGATCATCAATACCATAAGCTTGGGTAGCTTCGATCATGTCATTGTGAGATGAAGCTGGTATAAAACATACAAAGAAAAAAAGTGAAAAATGGAACTTGATCACGATAACTTTGTCAGAAAACAAACCAACTGGCGAAATATACACAAAAACAAGTATACTGAGCTCAAAGTACCCGAATCATTGCTATCACAAGCATAAGCTTGAGTTCCCTCCAGCCCATAGGCTATAGTGGCGAGGTTTGCCTGTTTCGTAACATGCTCTCCAACACCACTGTCTCCCTTGTCATCCTCATCATTATTCCCACTACAAGGCTGAGTTGAACCAAAATCAGACACAAGTGTCCCTGCATTTGCATCATGACCTCTACCCTGATATCCACCTGTGCAACTTCTGCCCTCAATAGCTGTCCCCTCATCATCAATTTCTTCAGCTCCATAAGCTTGAGTTGCTTCCAGCCCATATGCAATGGTAGCTTGGACATCATCACCTCTGCTGACCCCAGCATCAAGGTCAGAAGGCTGCTCTCCTTCTGTCTTTGTAGAGTTTTTTTGTAAATCCTCTTCTTCATCATCACCACCTCCAATCCCATATGCTTGGGTGGCTTGCAAGTCATAGGCAAGTGTTTGTACCTGACCTCTCTTGCTGTCATCATCATTATTACATGTATTATCCCTCTCTGAATCACTCACACTTTCTGGTTCTCCTATGCCATAAGCTAATGTTGCTTGAATCTCATCAGTAGCTGCTGTTATAGCAGTGCCAATTGGAAGTGGCTGTGAATCTAAACTGTCAGAATCCTCTCCTTCTTCTATGCAATAAGCTTGTGTTGCCTCCAGGTCACAAGGATCAACTGCCTTATGCAGATCTCTTGCTACTGCTTTATCCCCATTTGCTACAGATTCTATTTCAAATTCAGAGTCACTTTGAACAGTATAGGCTTGAGTGGCAACATCTGCTCCATAATCATCAACAGCTTCATTGTTTTGTTCATCATCTGTTGAATCGTCTTTTTGTATTTCTTTTGTGTTATAAGCCACAGTTTGTTGTATAGGAGCAGGTGTTTCATCAACACTAGTCTTATTATCAGGTCCATCACCTTCTGAAAATAGATCAATCACATCCAACTGATAATTTCAACCTAATTATTTCAATTCCAAACTCAGTATATTTGAGACTTGACAAAAATTTTAATTAAGATTTTTAAAAAATAAGTGGCTTCATGCTCAAGCTAAAACAACAGACAAAGACACAAAATTGACATTCTCCATTTGGCAGTACCACAAATAATCTTTTTTCACCCATCACATAGCTGTTGATGATTATGGAGCAGATGTTGCCACTCAAGCCTATGCTGTTTTTCACCCATCACATAATGGTCATAAAAGTTGGTAAATTTTTTTCCATTCAAGAACTTTGCCCCTCCCCATCCTTGTCAAAATTGTTTTTGAAATCCTGCTAAAGAAAGGCAACTGGAGGGCATATAACAAAACACTAATTTAAGATCAATCCTGTAGATCTCATAGAATCAACAGATGCCTGAAAGCTTTTGTTTCAGAAATATGGGGTGCCCTGCTTTCCTGAAATGAAAGTTATACAAGTTGCTTGATGACAAAAATTAGGCTTCTCTATGGCATCTGGGCTTTACTAGACCATATCCCTATCAAATTCACTCCACTAATCAACAAGTACTTAAACATTCACATTATTCTACAGAGGATGTACTCACATACCTGAATCACCCTCATCATCAGTAGAACTCATTTCAGCTCTATAGTATGGAAGTGTCGCATCAGTATCCTTAACTGCCACCATTTCTTTCTCTGTGTTTGGCCTTTCCTCCAACAAACTGTCAGCCTTGTCTTTTTCCACTACATCTGCTGGACTTTCTTTCAATCTTTTGGCTGCCTTATCATTGTCTTCATCAGAATTAGACTCATACAACAAAGTTGGTTCATTCAGAACCATTGGTGGTCCAGGTTTCTTTTTAGGAGATTCATCTGATTCTGAACCATACAGAAGTGTTGGCTCACAAGAAGGACCCTTGTCTGAAACCCTTGCTGCTGGGTGCCTTGGTCTTTTAATTGGGCTCCCATCATCAGATTCAGAGCCATATATCAGTGTAGGCTGGCATGGAGGTTGGGTGACAGAACCCCTAGCTCCAGGGTGCCTGAATGGGCTTGCATCTGAGAGTGAATCAGATTCAGAGCTAACCTTCAAAGTTTGTGGAATGCTTCTTGTTTGAGCTGAGTGAGATCCAGAAGACCCTGTTGAATCTCTATGAAATGAAAAAATAATTAGAGCTACTCATAAAACTTCAGTTCCTCTCACAAGGTTAGCAGAAGAGCCATTAACCCTTTTACTCCAAAGATTTCATCAGTAATTCTCCTTACTGTCTGCCATACAATTCTTATGATGTTTGTTCTGAGAATTCAGTACTGGATCAACTTATGATCCCCTAAAAGATATTTTTCTTTATTCTCATCACTTGTCTGTTTGATATTGTAATGATGTTGTAAGGGGAAATTCTGTCTTGGTCACTCATGGGAATTTAAGATTTGGGCATAAAAACCGTCATAAAGAAGTAAACAGTATAATATTTCCTTAGATCAAAGTAATCCTTCTCTTAAGGAATGAACAGTTTCAGTTTAATGAAACAATGAAAGTAAGAGATGAATAATAAAAGTCTCAGATTAGATTTTATTGTGCACAAACCGTGAACCTCTGTTCTTGCATGTTTAGGCATAAAAAATTTCAAAAAGGGAAAGAAGAGAGCATTTTACTAAAAATTGTATAGCTCAGAGTTAGTCAACTTCAAATCTTCTTTAAAAAACTGAGCAACTCACCTACACTGAAACACATGGCTTGGACTCCCAAGTCCAAATGCAAGAGTCTGTCCCTCCAAGCAAGCATCTTGTTTTATCGGAACACCTATTAATAAACACAAGAGCAGAACTGCAAATAGCTTTTCTTTCTTGAAAGGAAGCAGCTCTGACCACATCCTCCAGTAAGTCCTGGGTATTTGACTACACAATTTGCTTGGGGTTTGAAATTTTAAATTTGGGGGAAAAAAACCTTTGGAAATTTATATATGTAACAACCTACTCATTCAAATTTTACACTTAAGACTTACTTGAGACCCTCTGCTCATTGGATATCTCCTTTTCATCCTCAGAGCTGTACAATATAGTTGGCACTGCTGTTGTTACAAGAGGTCGCTCTTCATCAGTGTCACTATCTGTGTCTGCAGCATATGCATCTTCATAGTCCTTAACAACAAAAGAATGCTTGAAGATAATCTAATTTAATTAAAATAGCATCCCATGAAAAAAGTATAAAGATCTTTGCTCATCGTCATACACATACCTTGGATGGTTTTGTCGTTTCATGGTCTGGTTTTGCTTGCAGTAATGATTCCCTTGGGGCAGCTCCTTTTACATGTACATCAATGGTACTTGACATACTAACATCCTCACTCTCTATTGGCTGTCAACAAGAAAAACCAACAAGCAACTATCTTTTTTACAGGGAACTTCAAACATGGCGTAACATTAAACACTTGGCAAGTGAGAACATTTCTAAATTTTCTAATTTTCCTCAGCTTCAAACTTTAAAAACCTGACCTTTCATGATGGGTTGGGAATCTGTTTTCAAAGTTTACAAAACTCATGGTCAAAATTCTCCAGTCTAGATTGTTTTACATACATGAACACCTGATAGCAAACTTTTGTATGACTCAAAACCTGCAATCAATCTTAGAAGCTCTGCATCATCCTTTTAAGCGAAAGAATAACAAGGGAAGAACCTTGACCAAGGAAATGTGCCATTTCAGTACTGATGTTGGCAATTGTTGCATCCTATCAGGAAGACCATGACCATAACACTGATAAGATTTGGTCACTCCCTAAGGCAGCACAAACACTTATTTGATGAGTTATTAATAGTAAACCTGGAAAACAGGGAATAGTTATGAGTTATAAGTGGAAAGGACAAAGAAAGCTAAGAGTGTGTTTTTGTTGTTCTAAACAACTGATAACCTGCTCAGCCTGATCATTACCTTATCAATCTTCTTCATTCCTTCCTCAGTGTTCAAATCTGTCAACATAGATTCAGAACCTGTCTCTGAAACTGTTTCATCACCATCATCCTGCAAATCAAAACAACAATAATATCAATTATCAAACCACTGCAGAAGACATAGTAACATACACTGTAGCAATCAGCATCCTAGACTACATCTGGACCCAGTTGTTTGAAGGCTGATTAGTGCTAACTTTTTTAGTCTATGTTTCTTTATTCCTTTATTCAAAAGCCTTTTTGGGATAATTTTCTGCATTTGTTTCAGAGCATCCAATAATCATATTGCAGACAAAAAGAATTCAACTGAATTTTCCTTAAAAGCTTTCAGATCTGAAATCAGATTTTTATAATAATCTTTAGTTATCTTGACCCAGCTTTAAACAACCTGGCTAAGATCAAAAGGTCTTGGTTTAACCTTGGCCAAGACATTGTGTTGTGTTCTTTGGCACGATAATGTATTAACAAACAGTGGATTGACACTCTGTCTGAAAGGAGTAGCTGCATACTCCTACATTTAAGATGGGATAGACAGTGCTGCTGACATTGAACCACAATTCCTGACTCACTTACTGCCTCCAGGCTTCACTCACCTCCTCCTCCTCCTCCTCCATGACCATCAAGTACTGACAAGTCACATCACCAAAAGTCAACATATCACCATGTTTAAGCTCATACCGTACCTTGGGCTTTAGGACAGACTAAAATGTGAAATTCACAGCAATTGTCATAAATATTTTAGCATGTACCTTTTGTAAGTTGAATGGAAATCCTCCAGTCTGGTGTGGGCAATGTATAATACAGCAAACAAAACAGGTTATACCGAAGTAAAGAAATATTTTAAAAAAATTGGTTCTGGAAGATTTACTGTAATCTTATTTCTTTCATTCCTAAAAGACAGACCAAGAAGCTGAAAGGTTTTAAAAGTATTTATTACACAACGCAAGGGACTCTAAAGTACCTTTCCTTTCCTTGTTCTGTTCTTGCTCTCACAATCATACAGAAGGTGAAGATCTCTTTGCACTTCAATGCAGGCATGTTTCTTTGACAAAGCCTTATGATTAAAATGTAAAGTAAAAAGTAAGTAGAAGAGAACAGCATAACAATACAGCTCTAGAAACTGCTGTGTCAAAGGGCAAGAGTGGAACAAAAGACTTCTTGTCTTGTCTTGACTTCTCGTGCTCAGTTATGGGCTTACTTGCTAAACAGTCTGGGGCCAAAAATTTAATGAAGAGAACTACTCACCTTTATGGGGATAGTGATGTTACACTTGCCATCTCTCCCTATAAAATTATCACCTTTAGAGAAAAAAAGATGTACAAAGCAGTTATATTTTTATCTATCCTTAAGCCCTTAAGCAGACAATAGAATGAACAAGACAGAAAAGTGGTGAAAATGGGAACAAAACGAAGAAAAAGTTAAAAGATAATAAAGGAAATGAAAAACAAAAAAACATTGAATGGCCGCAGTACAAAAATATATGGAGGAAGCCTACTAGCTAAGTAATAAACAAATGATAAAAAGCAGAAAAGAAGCACAAACCTTTGAATACTGGAAAAATTGATTCTTTAAAACCTTGTTGAGAGAAAACTTTAAGATGTGCAACCTAAAACAAAAGTAAAAAACATTCAACATCATTGAACCAGGATAATGATGAAAATGATTATAATGATGATAATTATGAAGTTACTGTAAATTATTTCTGTTCAGCTCCCCCTCTGTCAAAAAACTCCATGTAAAGTATGCTCTAATTTGCAGGAGTAAACAAAGCCCCACCCTTTATTGATGGTCCTCAAGGATAAGCACCATTAAGGAAAAAAACCACTTCCAAAGCAATCACACAAGTAATCTTTTTCAAACTATTTCATAATGATTTGTAGATTCTGAAACTTATATTTCAAACTCAAAGTTATCAGGATCAGATTTATTTTATGTAGAGATTTTTATTTGAATAGTGCCAGTTAAATTAAGTTTTATTTGTAGTACAAAGAGGGAATAACTTATTGATTAACGCTCATGTAAAAAAATAAGACGAATACACTACCATGAAAATCTTAAAGGTTATCAATGCTCTTAAGATACAGTCACAAGTAAAAAATCATTCCTTGCTCTCCAAAATGTCTCTTTTTACCCTTTCACCCACCCCTCCCCCTCCCAACTCACACACGCACAGTGGGGGAGTGACTGTTCCTTTCAAAACAAGAGAATAGCGAAATGTGCACGAGATTTCGTTCAATTTCAACCGTCGAAAGAGTTTAATTGGCCATGTTCGGTAAAATTTCCGCACAGCCCCATACTTCATTATGCATTCAGTTCTTGAATAGAGAAAACAATGACTAAAACAATACATTGCCATTGGGAAAACAGATTTGTTTTACATTAGTATGTGGCTATCCCATGTTCTCCCAATCTCCTGGATGGCGACGCGAAAGGAAACGAAAGGAAGAAACGAAAGGAAACCAACAAACCAGCAAAAACAAGGCACGCCAACATGAGTGCCTCTGAAACGTACAAAATGTAATTGTAGCGCTCAAGGAATGCATTGTAACTCTACGGAATTTTTTCAAACTTACCTCGATTTTCTTGGAGCGAACCTTATTCTCTTCCTCACTTTCTGCCTCCTCTAATTCAAAATCATCTATTACTTGTGTCTGATCGAAATCCATTTCACAAAAAACCTGCTTCTGTATCGCGTCACAACTTAAGATCTTGCGAATCCCTCAGGCAATCCTGATCACACCTTTTTCCGAACTACCGTTACCATGGAGCTTCGATGTAATTTCAAGAACTTATCGAGTTAAAAAAAAATACAAGATAAAAAACAGCAGTGTAATGTTTCAAGCTTTTACCCCAGTTAAGTTTTCATAGAAACCTGGTCCGCCATATTAAAAATTTCCCGCGAAAAGCCAGCGGTGTGCTTGTTCACTCGTTTCAATCTCACTCGGTCATCGATGATGTAAAATGATTCACTCGACCACACAGAAGAACTCGTGACACTTGCGACCAGGAAGGTTATCATCTCCACTGTAATTCTAAATTTTGCACAATGGTAAAGCTTACTGGACTCTCTGTCCGTGACATACGCTTTCCAACATCTTTGGAACTGCATGGCTCAGATGCTATGGTGAGAACTTTACAAAAACCTTTAAAACAAATCGTCTCAGAATTTTTGAGCAACCCACGTCGTCGTATTTTGCATGCCCACGAAGTGGACCTACAGCCCTTCGAATTACTTTCCGTACCTCCCCCGCCCCGGCCCTACCTCACAGCTTTTCCGATGGCCCAGCCCTGCAAAGGGTGGTATCAGCGAAGAGGGTGATAGGGAAATTAAAACAGAGGTGATCGCGTGACTGACACCAGTTTCAGAGAAATAATAGTTATGAAAGAATATCGCGCTACTGATTGGCTGAAAACGAGTGCATTCTCATGTAACACGAGTGCAAAGTTGTAACACGAATGAAAATTACAACAAGCGCCTGCACGCTTTCAAAATTTGCCTATCTTGACTTCCTAATTATATGTTTTATCATTTACATTATTTACAATTAATAACAATTTTCTCCAGAAGTTTGTTGTAATAAGCACTTGGAAATTTTTCAGACTTCAAATTGCACTTGCCTTATGGGTTCATACAATTTTGTTCCCTTTGAAAAATGTGCTTGAGCTTATTTACACCAAATTGCACTTGAAATCATGTTATTACCTATACAAATAATTTGGCGCATTATGTAACCATGTTACATTCCTTTGTCAATCATGGAAATGACTGTACAAGATTTAAGTGTCATGAAAATTTGGGAATCATATTAATTTATATGACTGATGCCTTTTTACAGTTTTTTTTTCTTAACCATTCTAAAATCCAGTGAGTTTTTGCAGTGGTTTCTTTTTGCCTACTTTCCTGCAACAAGGTTGAAGTACAACTACCTTTTACTTATATAGATTACAGTTTTCTAGTTAGATTGTGGTGAAACCTGTATTTTAGTGTAGTTTTATTGTCAAAATATCATCAGAAAATGATGTAACAACCTTTTGAATGTTTTCCAGAGAACTTAAGGAGTATTCAGCAAAGTTATTTATAAAAAAGGGTCACAATTTTGTCTCAGTACTTAAAAATGTGACATATGATGAAACATACTTTACATGTACTTTATTATTACATATTATTATTTACAGCACAAGTCACCTGATTACTCAGCAGTGTATATTGTCTTCGAAACAGATGGACTGGATAATATTGAAGGGCATGGCCTTACCTTCACTTTGGGACGAGGCAATGAACTAGGTATGTGTATTGCCTCCATTTGACTGTTTCACTGTACTAACTTCTTTCTCTTCATCAAATAATGTGATAAATTTTCAAATTTAACTTAAGAAAAAGCATGCTATTGAAGGAAATATCAGTAAACTGTCAGATATCAGAGGACTTAGATTTCTGTCTCCATCAGTCATCAAAAATGTTTCACCGACCTTTTTTTTTTATATTTTGTAATATATGTGTCATTGAGTCATCTCCTTCATAGCCATTGTTTGGTCTCATCTCGCACCATGCTTTTTTTTTGGGTGAGGGATGAAAGCTGGTTGCATGATAAGACCAGTTGATGGCTGTGAAGGAGACTAGCCAGGAGGTTCAAGTCACAAAGAACTGTAACTGAGGTCTTGAAAATGCCCTTAAAAGTCCAAGGCTTCAGTTTTTCACAATGCTGACCAACTAAAAAAGAATATTTTTTCCCTTCCTTTTTCAAATCACATTTACAGTGATTATTATTGACCTTTTCCATGTACACATCCTGCATAGTGATTGCAGTAGAATACAACAAACTGAATGTTCAAAAAAAGATTATTTATATGAATATCAATGACAACTTCCTTTCTGACTTAATTTTTTTCAAAAGCTTAAAATTTTTTTTTTGTGGGCAATAAGACAAGAATTTGCAAAACCATTGCTATAACCATTGGTTATTACTGTTGCTGTATTATTTTTCCCTTATTACATTTTATTGCATTTACTTTTTAACTGTATGTTCTCATCTCTGTTATAATTATATAGAAGTAATAAATAAATACTTTTTTTGCAAACTGTATTTCAATCGTTCATTAGTGATGGAAGCAGTGAAAACATATGGCAAAATGCTCATTGACAGGACAACTGATGAAATCTTTGGTAACTTTGCCTCAGTTTGGAGAGAACTGGCTCATGAAAGTCAGTTTAGATGGGTAAGAAGTCATCACAGAGATAAATCATTATGATAGGTATTTGAATATGTTTAAAAGAGCATACTACAGTTCTCTAAATATCACCTTCCTCTTCCCTTTGTTGTTCATCACAAAATGATTTTTAAATCCCACAAATCATTAATTTTTTGAAAACCTCTCACTGATGTCTAATATTTTTGATATTTTTTTTGTTTTAAGCTTGGTCCAGAAAAAGGTGTGATACATCTTGCACTGGCTGCAGTTGTAAATGCATTGTGGGATCTTTGGGCAAAGATGGAGGGCAAGGTAAAGTAAGACAGCCATTCACTTAATGCTTATTACCTAATAGATACAATTCACATGTGGCCTGAACAGGTTAAACCAATTAGTAAAAGCATAAGGACTTGTGTGACCTAGAATTGAGTGACAAAATAGTCATTTGGTTGAGGAATTTTTGTAAGATTTTGCAACTTTAGTCATTGTTATGGGAGCCCTTTTTGGAGGTCTCATGTTATTGATTTTCTGAGATTTTTGCCTCTGTCTCATGTACTTAAAGTCGTGCAAACTGCAAAGTTTATTTACTGAAAATAAATGCTACTGGGTTTTGAGAAGAATTTGAAATTTGCAGTCAGTACTTCTTCATTTTCCCACTGCTGCATGACCATTCAAACTAAAGCTGCAAAGCAATATCTTTGGGGTACTTTTTCTTTTTCAAACTGTGGCTAAGTATCTTTTTCATGTGTTATTACAAACAAATATTATTTGATAATAATTTAACACTTTGCTTCAACTTCAAGTTAATCACCAGTAGTGTTATAGTCAATTTAATCTAAGTGATAAGTTACATTCTGTGATCATTTTTCTATGCAGCCTCTTTGGAAACTTCTTTCAGATATGGTGAGTCATTTGAAGTCCTGTTATGTAACATACTCTTTTAGTTCTATGTTTCTTTAATTGCCCTCGTATACTTTCCCCGTGACACCGCTATAGAAGGTTAGAGTTTGGGATGAAGCAGTGAAGGGGCAGGAGCGAAGTGCAAGTGGTAGGAGCAGAGAGGTGAGGGTACATGGCAGGTATAAGGACTTGGTGCAGTGACTGGTTGGGGCTGAGAGCTGTGGAGGTGCAAGAGAGTGGTTGGAGAAGGAGAGCTACAGGGGGTGTAATGGTGTTGTTTCATGACTATTCAGGGTTAAGGGTGATGGAGGTTTATGCTAGTTAGGGAAGGAGGGCTTTAAGAGTTCTAGTGCTGGTGTTCAGAGACTGTTAAGAATTAGAGCGTGAAGGTGTGATTGGAGGTCACTGGTAGAGAGGTGGGTGAGGGTGACCTTGAAGGCCTTTGGAAAGGGCTTTTTTCCTTCTCTTTGTATTACCTCTGAAGATTCCAAAAAAGAAGGCATAACTAGACAATAAAACAGGAAACAAAATTGACTATGGCCAATGAACAGTAGAACAAGTTAACTATACTTTTAATTAATAGATTTTTTCACCTCTCTTTATAGTCTCCAGAACAGCTTGTTTCAACAATTGACTTAAGTTACCTGTAAGTATTTGTGTGTAGTACATTTGTTATGAGATTTTTTTATATACGTATCAAATAAAAGATGAGAAATAAAGTGACCATAGGAACTTAAAACACTTATTTGTGAGCATATGGCTGTCGTTGTGATAGAATTTTTCTGTGTTTACAGGTCAGATGTGTTAACAAAAGAGGAAGCCATTGGTAAGTTATCCTTATATTTATTAATATTTTGGTCTTCTCTTGGATCAGGTTAGGAAGTTTTCTATAAGTCTCCTTACAGAGTATAAAAAGTACTAATGCCAAAAGGGCTCAGATATTCTCGTTGCACTTTGTCAAATTTTACTATAAGGACATTCATTTCATTTTACTGCATTTGAGAACTTCAAAGTAAAGAAAGTCGGATCAATATCAGTATCTGGGCAACTGCCCACCTACCCCTCCCCTAACTCAACAACAGTCAATTGACAACAAGTCAAGGTTAATGTTGGGTTAGGGGAGGGGTAGATGGGCAGTTGCCCAGATACTGAAATTGATCCAGAAAGTCAATTTCTTGTGGGACAAATTTGTGCTAAAATTAAACCACTTATCACAAGAATACAGCACCTTAATCTAATCATTATGGATTAACTTTTCTAATCATATAAAAAAAAAACATTAATCTTTGAGAAGCTATTTTTATCAGTATATTCTCAATAAGATTTATACTCTTTCTTTATAGCTATTCTTCAGAAGAATGTAAGTGGCAAAAAAGAAAGAGGTATTTAAAGTTTAAGATATTTTCTGTTTTAATTGTCATGTTAATATTGATTCAATGTTCTTACTAAGCTTATATCATGTCAGGATAACTGACCAGATGGTATAATTATATACAAAGCCCTTTCACTCCTAATTCTCCCTACTGTCTGCCATACAATTCTTATGCTGTGAGGTTTGAGAATTTTGTATTAGATCAACCAATAATCCCCTAACTTATATTTTCCATTATTCTTATCACTTACCTGCATGATATTGTATTGGTATTGTAAGGAGAAATTCTGTCTAGGTCACCTGTTAGAGTTAAAGTGTTAAGTACAATTTCCATTTGCTTTCAGAACAAGAGATCATTGCTAAGGGATATCCTTCTTACACAACA